CGGCACCGAATCGGCCGCTGCTGCCCGCCATGGGAGCCGGGGAGGGGGGAGGCGCCGAGCACCGGGCGGAGCGGAGCGCAGCGGAGAGGAGGGGGCGGTGCTCGCCCGCCCCCACCCCCAGCCCGGTATGGGGAGGGGGGCCCGGTGCCCTCCACCAACACCCGAGGGGTCCGCCCGGCCTGTGCCTCTCTGCGCAGCCGACCCGACTCGTCCCGACCGCTCCCGTCCCGGCCGGTCCCGTCCCGTCCCCGCCGCTTTCAGCCGAGGCTCTTCCCCTGATCACTCCTGTTTTTCCCTTTATCTGCGGCGGGGAGGTGCGGATGAATGGTTTGGTGGGACGCGCTTCAGCGAGGAGGTGCCGGATTACAGCACACACTGTAGGCGATACATTGATTATTCCTAGGCTCTGCTTTCCCGCTTTCCCTGGCAGTCCCTGATTACCCGACACAGCACATTACGGCACGGGGGTGTCCATTTTTCCGATAGTCAAAATTGTAATCGTACGGGGTTCCTCATTACGACTGCGGTACACCTTAAAATGATCCATTTGCTTTGTAAAACACCCAAACCCACAGTCGAAAGATAAACTGCCTTCCGTGTGGGCATGAGTAGGCTCCCCATAAAAATCTCTGTTTAGCCTGTCAAAGACGAGTTCGGTTTGCGTGCAACAATGTCTAATTTACATTCTCTGTTTCCGAAGCTTTAAATCACTGGCACTTTTTAGCATGAAAAGTTGAGCACAACTTTGTTCGTTCCGTTACTAAAATGAGCCTTGCCTGCCTGCCTGTCAAAGCGATTAGAGACACGGGGCACATTTTCCCCCGTGATTTTGAGAATAAGAAGAAACGGGGATTTAGCCCAGTCTCAGCTGTTAGAGCATCGAGCATCAAAAGACGAGATAGCAACCAGTTTGACCCTGTAAAATCCTAGAGCACATCTGCAGCGGTAAGGTCACGGCCGCTGCGAGGGGAAGGTGCTGCCACTCCCCTCGCTGCCTGAAAGAATCAGGCAGATGTTGGAAAAAACCCAGCCCTGATCGTTTGTTTTTTGCAGAGCAGGAGGATCTCGCAGAAACCCTCGAAAAGGCTCTTCTGACAGCAAAGAGTTGCAGGAGTTTAGCCACAGCAGGGCTTGTGCTGTGGGCTCGGTATGTTCAGTGCACCCCAGCAACACAAGGTCTGGGCTCAAATCCGCCAAGCAGCAAGCATGAGAAGCAACCAAGGTCTATTTTTTTCTTGCTTGTAGTATTTTAAAATACAGTGATTTCTCAAACTTGTGGAAACTAACTTCTGACTACAGGTAACCCTCAAAGGATGGTGCTTAGTAGGGAGGTTTCTCTCCTCCTGTGCCCCACCGCCAGCAACCTCACCTCTATGTTTTGCTTGCCATATTCTATTACAAACAAATCAGTACAGTTGAGCTCTCATTAAGTACAGGAGATATTCCCAGAATCGCAGTGTATTCTTTCACACAATAAGAATAAAACAGCACAAGGGAAAGTTGCTTTTAAACACGACCTCACATGGCTCTTTGAAACCTTTGGCTGGAAAAAGCCATCTAACCTCAGATGACTATTTTGCCTTGAACAGCCACCACTTTGCTGATACATTAAATCATTCTAATGAAAAAGACAAAACTAGTTCTTGTATTACACATATCGCTAGTTTCTCTGTAGAGCAGATGGAAGAGTTTTAAGGAAAACCATAAAACTTCTGCTAAACAGAGTATTGCCTCAAATGGTTCTTGTTCAATGGAACATCTGAGGACTACTTCTCAACACTTACTATGTGTATTGTAATAAAACACTGGCACTTTTTCATTAAGCACTGCATAAATTTAACAGGTTTGAGTTGACACTCTGACAAAAAGATTAATCTCAAACTCCCAGCATAAACAGAACTTCCTTTAATGTTGAAAGATACTATGGGGAAGATATTTGCAAGCCTAGGTGATGTGAATTGACTACAGCAGGTTACAGTGAGTAGACCAGAATGAATTTTTTTCAGGATCAAGTCTGTCATTCCAGTTTTCCTGACTAGCATCTGAAGGTTTGGCTGCAAATTGAAGCACTTCCCACCCCTCTTGCTACCAGTTCTGAATGCTGATTCTCACTTCTTGATCACCAAAAGTAACGACATTCATCTGGGGTTTTTCACAGTATTTTTCTGAATGCTTTTGAATGGAGATGTGAACTTATTTCTCCTGACAGTAGGCTCGTCTTCTCTGCTAGTTCTGGTAAGCTCTTTAAAAAGAACCTCCAGTCCCCCAGTATCTTGTCAACCACCAGATGAAAGCCTCAGTCTTAGAACATATCCTGTTTTTCTCAATATTTAATGTAGGACTGGGACGGATACAAAAGTTCTACCTCTCTGTGTCCTAATAATAATATCTCCATCTGACAGCAGGTTATTTCTGCAACTGTCACGATTCCTACTTTTCTAGAGCTGTTATTACCTTTATATATTGCATATTATTACACTGCATATTCTTGGGAAGTTGTTCTTCTAGTGACAGCATATGGAGGACCATCAACTGTCAACACAGGAGTTCATGCATTTAGAGTGCTCAGACGTTACCTGACACACATTGGAGGTACCAAAATAAGTTTTGGAAACCATCTAATTATTCCACTTGTTACTAAGGGGGAGGGAGTGACTAACAAAAAGGAATGCTTTCAGGTTTCAGTGGTAACTACTGAATTCATAAGGGGAGGCAGAATATCAAAATCTATGGAAGCCACGCATTTGTCATTCATACAATGGCATTGATCTGAACATCTCCAAAAAGTTATGAGGAAATAAATCTGCTATTTACATTACAGGCACCCTAACATTAAACACATTTCCCAAACTGTGGCAGCAACACATTTTTTTTGGTATAAAAACCTGTATTTTTTGGCAAAGAATCCTGGTTCTGTAGTTGTCAATATGGATTCTGCAAACATCTTGAACAGGTGAGTAAAGGTGACTGATTGGATCAATAGAACTGCTCAGATTTATTCTACAAGACAGAGATACCGGGGTAAGTGGTATCAGTAAGCAGACAAAGATGAAGCCCTGATCCTGTGGGAATCAGTGAAGATTTTACTCCTGAGTTTAATGAGACCAAATTATTTGTGAAATTTCCAAGGCGATTTTAAATCAATCTATTAGGTCGTGTATTCTAACTACAGTGTAGTAGAGAAAGTCTCTCACTGTCATGATGGTTTGAAGCTGGTTGGTTTTTTGGTCACTTTTAAAACTGGGAAGAAACTATGAGGTTCCACCTTTTGGTGGTCTTTAAGTCGTGGCAAGAATCGGAGCTTTTCCTTCCATTGCCCAAGCACATGCTCTACACGCAAAGCTCCATGTTTTACCAAGCTCCATATTTTTGTTCTATGACAGATTTGTTTCCAGCTCTGAATTTGCACTTGGGCTTTTGCAAGCACAGTAATTTAGACTTCTGAAAAAAAGTATCAGTCATAAAATTACATGTGCAAATGAGCTGCCCAAAATAAATCACCCCAGGTTTAATTTATATTCTATTGTTCATAGTCCTATTTATTGGTGTTTAAATGTTTTAAAAGGGGACCTATCCACATATCAGAGCTGCTTTTCAGGTAACACAAAAAAACCACTTTGCTCCAAGTTCTTCATTTCGGCCTGTATTAATGCATCAGTCTCTTTAATATTATTAATGAGCTATTTCTTCTCGGTTTTTTTTCCCTGCTGGGGAGGACGAGATAAACAAGTAGGCCTGATTTTTCCAGCTGCTAAATATGTAAGCAGCACGACGGCTTCAAAGCGAAAGGTTTTAGAAGGCAACAGCAACAAGCGAACGGTGCTCTGGGGGCACTCTGGAAACAATGTGCCGGTTTTCAGAGGCAAAATCGGGACATGCGGGGTCATCCCCGGAGCCGCGGTGCTGCCCGGCGGGCGGGCGAAGGGGCCGCGGCCCCGCCGCCCCCGGCCCGAGGAGCGGCATCCCCGCCCGGCGGCCGCGGCGAGAGCTCCCCCTCCTGTCCCGCTCCTTCCCAGCACTATGGGAAACACATCATGGAGCCTCGGACACCGAAACGTGTTTAAGCACCAGTCTGCGTGCGATTATGCACGTATAAACCCACACGTCCACCCACACACACGGGGGGAAAGGGGGGAAGCTGAAGGTAAAAAGGGAGGTTGTTTTCTCTTTTTCTTTTTTTTTTTTTCCCAAGTAGCAGCCCCGGACGTCGCAGGCCACAGTAAAGGTGAGGCTCATAACTGGGTTCTCTTAATATTGCTGATAATTTACCGTATTAGTCCCTGCTTGCCAAGGTGTTGTCAGCTCTCCATCAGGTTGCTTGGTAATGCCAGTCACCGTGGAAAACATATGTCTATGCAGTCTTTCACCTGTATCCGAGGGGAAGCCATAATAAACAGCAATTTAAATTCAGGTATTTGGTTTGCTGAAGTGTTTAATTAAACAAAGAAATTCATTATGTGAGTTCACAGAAAAGTTCCATTACGTTGATTTTTTTTTTTTTTTTCATTTAACTTGAAATGGAAATGTTCCTCTGACTTTTTGTGTGGCACACTAAGATGATGGATTATTTATGCCATCAGAAACAAACAAATGCAGTGAATAATTAAAATACTGGCTCCCAATATTTTTTTTTAATAAGTAGACAGCTATTTTCATACACA